CTAAGATTCTGTGCAGTTCGGAATACCCCCAAATCCCACTCCTGGCTGGCCCCACCCACCCCTCTCCTCCCAGGAGTCCCCACACGGCCCGTTTTGAATGCTGATAAGTGCAGGGTGTGTGCAGAGGCTCAGGGAGAGTGAAAAATGGGCCTACTGAAGGTTCAGAGGTCCTCCAGAGCCTGGGGAGGCTGTTTTCGCCCTCCCGGAGACTCGAGGAAAGCCACCAGAGCCCGGGGAGGGCAAAAACACCCCCCCTCCCCTCACCATGGTGCAGGAGGTTGACTAGGCCACGCCCACCATGGCCACACCTACCCAGCAACCTGGCAGAGAACCCCTTGCTAAAGTTTTTGAAGCCCACCCCTGCAATTAAGCGCAGAATTTCCATTGCTAAGCCAGACAGTTGTTATCTAAGTTTTGCCCCGTTTTATGACCTTATTTATCAGTTGTTAAGTGAATCCCTGCAGTTCTTCAATTAGTAACAGGGCTGTTAAGTGAATCTAGCTTTCCCATTGACTTTGCTTGACTGGAGGTCACAAAAGGCGATCGACTTGACCCCGGCACACTGCAACTGTCATAAGTACATGCCGGTTGCCAAGCATCCGAATTTTGATTATGCAATTATGGGGAGGGTGCAACAGCCAGTCGTAAGTGTGAAAAGGGGTCCTAAGTCACTTTTTTCAGTGTTATTGCAACCTTGAATAGAACACCTGACCCAGGCTTCCTTAGAAAGCAAGAAGCAAAGTCTTGGTCCCTGCAAAACCCCTTTTATTTACACGACTGAAATTCAGTCACATTCACTTTCATTCACAGTCAGCGAGGCTTAGTAAACAGTCTTTCAGAGGAATGTTTATCCACACGCACCTTATCTCGTTTGGAGAGCTGCCAGATGACTAGTTTCCAAACGCAGGGCAAAGCAGATTTGGCACAGAGTCTCTTAAAGTCACACACAGAACTTTCCACTCTTGAACTGACCAAATAAACGAATTGTTTCCTGCAAAAGCCCATTCCCCGTTCTCTCCTCTTTTGTTTCCTATGGGAGGGGCCAATCACCTCCAAGGTGTGGCTTTACTGCCAAGTCGACCCTGATTTCTTGTTCTTGTCTTCTGGCAGACTGGGAACAGGCTCCAGCTGTTCTTCTGCCTCACTGCTGTCTAACTCCCTCTCTGCCTCCAACGCAGAGCCCTCGTCTGAGCTTTCCTCAGCCCCCCCAGGACCAGCCCATGTTCCTCCCCAACTTCCTTGCTGGCCGCTGGCGGGCCACAACAGCACCAAGGGCCCCTCATTTCAACCCCAAGGTACAAATATTCTCCGTTACTGGGTTTAAATATTCTCACCTGCTCGGGTTTGTCTTCCACCTGGCTCAGAAGGAAGCCTTCTGCCAAGGCCACCGCCTGGGAACAGGTCTCTGCTCCACATTCCCTGATCCACCTCTCCATCTCTGGGGGCAGGACGGCCAGGAACTGCTCCAGGACCACCAAATCCAGCATCTTAGCTTTCGTGTTCTGTTCTGGCTTCAGCCATTGCTGGCAAAGTTGGTGGAGTCGGCTGCAGCCGTCTCGGGGGCCCTTGGCCTCCTGGTAGAAGAATCCCCTGAAAAGCTGGCGCAGTTCAGTTGAAGCGGATGTGTCTTCTTCCGGATCCTCCTGCCCAGTTCTTTCACCTGCTTCTGTGTGGGTCTCAACCTGAGCTGCGCGAAGGCATTTCCCTGCTCCCGTGCGTCCTTGGCCTTTTGCATCCATCTCCTCTCTGAGTTATTGCACAGTGGAAATCATTTCTAAGAGAGCTCTCGAACCTCCGAAGCAGCTTTGCCTGAAAGAACCAGATCTGGAGAAAAACTGGAAGTATTACCATCACATAGGCTGACCCCCTTTTCTTTGTTCTTCTAGAAGAGCAACAAAGATGATTAGGGGGCTGGAGGCTAAAACATATGAAGAACAGTTGCAGGAACTGGATATGTCTAGTTTAATGAAAAGAAGGACTGGGGAGACATGATAGCAGAGTTCCAAAATCTCAGGGGTTGCCACAAAGAAGAGGGAGTCGAGCTATTCTCCAAGGCACCTGAGGGCAGAACAAGAAGCAATGGGTGAAAACTAATCAAGGAGAGAAGCAACCTAGAACTAAGGAGAAATTTCCTGACAGTTAGATCAATTAATCAGTGGAACAGCTTGCCTCCAGAAGTTGTGAATGCTCCAACACTTTTTAAGAAGAGGTTGGATAACCATTTGTCTGAAATGGTATAGGGTTTCCTGCCTAGGCAGAGGGTTGGACTAGAAGACCTCCAGGGTCCCTTCCAACTTTGCTATTGTATTGTATTATTGTATTGTATTGTGGTAGCCCCTCAAATACTGTAATACTGCTATCATGTTATCCTTAATCCTTTTCACTAGACTAGACCTACCCAATTCCAGCAACTGTTCTTTGTATGTTTTAGCTTCTAGTCTCCTAATCATCTTTGTTTAGGGACTGGAGGCAAACAGGATCTAGATTCCATCACCTTAGGGTAGGATGCCACAGAAGTATTTTTCAACTCTCCAAAATCACCCAGATTCCCCCTCCTAAGGCTTTCGTGCTCACCTCTGGCAGGTTTTCCAGCAGGGAAATGTCTCTCTTGCAGCTCAAACTTACTCTCCAGAATCCCCCAAGACAGGAAGCTTTCCCAGATCAGCCCAGGTTTTCCCAGGACTGCAGGCATGAGATCTCTCTTGCAAGCAAGGGGAGAATAACGTGATGCCACTGTCTCCTACTTTAGGAAGGTCTGCATACATATATGCCCATCACTCTAACCCCCCTTCTGGATAAGCAGCATTGCAGCGTGCTGCCTCTGTTGTTATTGTTATTGGTAGCAGCCATACTTTTGCTCTTTATGAGAAGCAATTTATCTCTAGACTCTTCTACCGTCTATGTAAGGGTTAAAGAAAGAGGTTGTGCTATTTCCTAGAGTGGCAAGATTCTGGGCAAGGAGCTAAAGAGTTGCCATAACTGATCCAATCATGTTCTTTTTTGAGGCTGGAAGCCGTTAGGTGCACAAGGCGCCACCTGGTGGCTGTTTCCTGAAGGATTTGAATATTCTGAGCAAAAATATATCTAGAATCAGAAGAGCATAGGGCTGGAAGGGACCTCAGAGGTCTTCTAGTCCAACCCCTGCCCAGAACAGGAGGCCTTATTGCATCAGGAACAAATGGCTATCCAGTGATGGAGAACCCACAACTCCGGGAATCAAGCTGTTTCATTGATCAAGTGTTCTCACTGCCCAGGAAATTTCTCCTTACTTCCCGATTGGATCTCTCTTTAACGAGCTTCTAGCCATTGCTTCTTATCCTGCCCTCCGGTGCTTTGGAGAGTAAGTTTCTAGACTTGAAACCAAGCAAACCAAAGTAAGAAGGAAAAGATCTTTAAGCAAGTCGCCTATTTCAAATGCTTTGATTGATTGGTTGGTTAGAAGCCATCAAGTTGTTGTGGATTCTTAGCAGCCCACATAGATTTTCTCCATGTCACATCAAGGGAAGGAGGGAGGGGGAGGAGCACGCAAAAGGGACTCCACAGTTCAATCCTGAACTACAAATATTCTCTTCTATGGAAGGGTGGATGGCAAGATGATAGAAAGATAAAAGGATAGATAGAAAAGGATGAATAGATATAGATAAGGATAGATAGATAGATAGATAGATAGATAGATAGATAGATAGATAGANTGGGTTGATAATTTGGTGGGTGGGTTGATTGATTAATGGGTTGGTTGGAGGGTTGATTGATTGATGGGTTGGTTGGAGGGTTGATTGATTGATGGGTTGGTTGGTTGATTGATTGATTGATTGATTAATGGGTTGGTTGACTGGGTGGTGGGTGGGTGGGTTGATTGATGGGTTGGTTGGAGGGTTGGTTGGTTGATTAATGGGTTGGTTGACTGGCTGATGGGTTGGTTGGTTGGTTGGTTGATTGATTGATTGATTGATTGATTGGGGCACTCAGGGTTCCCCAGCTTTTCCTCCCAGTCCTTCTCCAAGTGCTGATGGAGCTCTGCAGGACTGGACTCTTTTGCCTCTCAAGGATAAACACGTGTTAGCTTTTGCACGTAAAAAGGATGCTGAGTGCAAGCATGCAAGGCCTTCTCCAGATCAACATGGATGCACCCCCTGCAACCACAGTTTGAGTCCATTACATACAGATAGTCCTCAACTTATGACCACCATCGAGCCCGAAATTTCTATTGTTACGTGAGATATTTGTTAAGCGAGCTTTGCCCCCTTTTTACAACCCTTTCTTGCCACTATTCTTTAGTGAATCACCGTAGTTGATAAGTGAGTAACTCGATTGTTAAATGAATCTGATTTCCCCATTGACTTCAGTTATCAGGAGGTCTCAGAAGGGGACCTTGGGATACAGCAACGGTCATAAGTAGGAACCAGTTGCCAACATTCTAAATTTTGATCACATGATCATGGAGAGGCTACAAAGGTTGTTAACTGTGAAAATTGGCCACGAGTCCCTTTTTCCAATGCCGTCATGACTTTGGTCACTGAATGAATTGTTGTAAGTCAAGGACTATCTGTATGCCCTTCAAGTAACAAAGGAGGCCAAAGTGGAGAGCGAGGGGAACTTTTACCTGTACAGTATTTTTCAGAGTATAAGATGCATGGGAGTATAAGATGTGAATTGGGGGGGGGGAGGGCATGCGTAGCCTTTAGGAGGCTTGTAGAGTGCTCCTGGGGACTGGGGCGGCAAAAAAGAGCAAAAAACAGCCCATTTTTCGCTCATTTTTGCCTCCCCAGCCACCAGAAGCACTCTGAAAGCCTCCTAAAGGCTATGCACAGCCATTTTTGCAAAGGGGGCAAGGTTTCTGGAGGCCAAAAATGCTATATTCAATGTATAAGACGCACCCAGATTTTCACCCTCTTTTTTGAGGGAAAAAGGTGTATACTCTGAAAAATTCTGTAGTTTGCCCAGAGTGGGAATTAATCCCTGGTGGTTTTCTCCGAAGCTTCCTTGAAGAAATGTCCATCATGGAGCAACAGAACTTAGCAGTCTGTCAAGTAGGACATCTCAACACCATTCAGGTGGGAAGCAGCAGGGGATTCTCAGGAAGTGGAGTTCAGAAGTGCCCAGGTAGGCTCAGCGCAGAGCTACAGCAACACTTCCAAGAGCGCTTCCTTCAACGTTTTTGCAACCAGATCTGCACTCTGGATCTTCAGGAACAGAACTTGGATCAATGCACCAAGAAGCCAATCCAAGGCGTGGCGATCCCGGAGCCATCCCTAGTAGGCTTTCCATCACAGCTGCAGAGTTGGGTGAGTGAACGTGGCCGGGAGATCAGGGAAACATTTCAATCTAGGCATCCCGTACAGGTAGTCCTCAACTTAACGACCACAATTGAGCCCAAAACTTATGTTGCTAAGTGAGAAATTTGTTTACTGAGTTTTACCCCATTTTACAACTGTTCTTGTCACATTTGTTAATTGAACCACTGCAGTTGTTAAATCAGTAACTGTTGTTAAGTGAATCCTGTCTCCCCATGGACTTTCCCTGTCAAGTGATCGGAAAAAGGGATCACATGACCCCGGCCATCTATCGTCTATCAATCTTATCTATCTACTTATCATCTGTCTGTCTGTCTNGAAAGAGATGAGAAAGATGAAGAAAGAGAGAAGAGAGAGAAATGAGAGATGAGAGAGAGAGATGAGAGATGATAAATAATAGGCAGGCAGGCAGGTAGGAGAGAGAGAGAGAGATGATAGAGAGATAATAGAGAGATGATAGAGAGATGGAGAGAGAGAGAAGAGAGAGAGAGATGATAGATGATAAATAATAGGCAGGCAGATGATAGGTAGGAGAGAGAGAGAGAGGATAGACAGACAAACAGACACTTCAATATATAACTCAAATTTGTCCTCTCATCACGGAAAGGAAAAATATTGGGAATAGGTGAAAGTTTGCTATCTCTGCAGACAATGCTTGAGTTAAGCCAAAAGTAACGATATTTTATCTAAGAATAGTCCGCAGAACACATTGCTGACCAGGGATCCTGCTCCTTTTTTCCACCACCACCCCTTTTTTTTTCTTCCTAGTAAAGCACATCTCTTCCTCAGAACCTTTTTTTCCCCTGTAAATCTGGTGCTTCCCTAATAACTGTTACCCACTCTGAAAACCATAATTAGTTTCTTAGTGGCCTCTGGCACGGCCTGCTGCTACTCCCTGGAATTCTGCTCCCTGGAATTCTGCTCCCTGGAATTCTGCTCCCTGAAATGTGTAACATTCCTGCCTTGACTGTGATAAATTAACAATTGGCATGCAGTTCACAGCCCCAAGTGCTATTCAAAGCCTCTCAATGTGAATTCCCTCCGGGCGTGTCTATTGACTTCCTTGTATTCTCTGCCTCCCCAAGGAATGTAAATACAAACTTTAATTTCCTTCCCTGTTAATCTTTCAAAGGGGATGTGGAGTGGGGGGGGGGAGTCTATAAGATTTACCCCTTGAATTGATTTCCTTGCGAGTCCAATTCTGGAGCTCATTCTCCACACTTAAGGGCGTTGCGATAGATGGGGGGAAGGACACCCACCTACCCCGGCGCCATGAGGCAATAAATGACCTTAAAAGTTTATTGCTGTCCTGGAATCTCGCTTGGAGTTCTTGTTCATTGAAATCTACATTAAGCATCAGCACGCAAATCGGCAGCAACACTTAAAGTGAATTGCAGAATTACAGAATAACTGAGTTGGGAGGGACCTTGGAGGTCTTCTAATGCAACCACCTGCTTAAGCTGGAGACCCTATGCCAGGGGTGTCAAACACAGGTCATCACATGACATATCGGGATGTTTTTTCCCCTTCGCTAAAACGGGAAGGGGATGCATGGCCAGCACATGACACATGCAGCCCACGGGCAGTGAGTTTCACACCCCTGCCTTATGCCATTTCAGACAAATGGCTGTCCAATCTCTTCTTTTCCATGTTTCCAAGTGATGAGGCACCTCGTGGAGACAAGTTGTTCCATTGATTAATGGTTCTAATTGTCAGGTAATTTCTCCTTAGTTCTAAGTTGCTTCCTTCCTTCATTAGTTTCCCTCCATTGTTCCTTGTCTGGCTTTTGGGTGCTTTGGAAAATAGGCTGTCCCACTCCGCTCTGTGACAGCCCCTCAAATATTGGAACACTGCTATCATGTCACCCTAATCCTTCTCTAGAATGGAATAGAATAGGGATGGGGATAGGACAGAATAGAATAAAGAGTTGGATGGGACGTTAGAGGTCTTCTTGTCCAACCTCCTGCTCAGGCAGGCACTGCAACGTTTCAGATCAATGGTTGTCCAACATCTTCTTTAAAACTTCCAGTGTTGGGGCATTCCCAACTTCTGGAGGCAAGCTGTTCCACTGATTGAAATTTCTCCTTAGTTCTAGGTTGCTTCTCTCCTTGATTAGTTTCCATCCATTGCTTCTTGTTCTGCCCTCAGGTGCTTTGGAGAATAGCTTGACTCCCTCTTCTTTGGGGCAGCCCCTGAGATATCAGAACCCTGCTATCATGTCTCCCCTAGTCCTTCTCTTCACTAGACTAGCCATGATCCATTTGTTGTGACCCAGTTGTAAGAATCTCTCTNAGTTTGACTCCCTCTTCTTTGTGGCAACCCCTGAGATATTGGAACACTGCTATCATGTCTCCCCTAGTCCTTCTTTTCATTAAACTAGACATACCCAGTCCCTGCAACCGTTCTTCATACGTTTTAGCCTCCAGCCCCCTAATCCTCTTTCTCTTTGCTTTTGCCAAAACTTGGTGCTACCAAACCTCTGACGGTAATATAAATGCAATAAATAAATAAAATTGGTCACTCTGGGTAAGAGTCTGCTTCGTATGCAGAGAAACCTCTTAAGTCAGTGGGCTCCAACCTTTTGGATCCCAAGGGCTGGTTCTGTGGAGAGAGAATTTTCCACATGCCCAGTTTCTGGCATGCTAAGGACTGGTGCCGGTCCATGGACTGGAGGGTCGGGGATCCCTGTTCTAAGTGATCTGTGAGCAAGGAAGATTTTTCTCTTTTTTTTTAGAGGCTGTTCACCTTGGAGGATGTGACTGTGCATTTCACCCAGGAAGAATGGGCACTGCTGGATCCTGCCCAGAAAGCTTTGCATAGAGAAATCATAGAGGAGATCAAAGGGATTTTGGCATCTCTTGGTAAGGCTCTTTCTTTCCTAGGAATCAATTCAGTGTTTCTGAGGCAGAAACAGTAGCTGAAGATGCATTTCCCAACCCCAATATCATCCTTAGGTAGTGTTCTGCCCTAAACTTCCCCAGCAGCACCAAGCCCTCATCTCAATAAGCCCCTTTTATTTAATTTACAGTAAATTCCTCTCCAGCAAAGTCCCGGTCCCACAGTCTTTCAAGAGAGTTCACAATTGCCGACTTTTATCAGGCTTGGAGAGTAGCCAGGCCAATATCTTTCAGACGCCGCAATACTTGGCAAGAATGAAGGAATGAACTAATTGTCTCCTGCAATTAGTTCATTCCTGTATTGCTCCCCTTTTGCTCCTCTTTTATTCCCTGTGGGAGGGGCCATTCACCATCCACCTGGGGCTTTACTCCCAAGTCAACCCTTGTTCCTTAGCTGTTCCCTTCATCTGGCAACTGTGTATGCACACACTGGGAACAGGCTCCAGCTGTTCATCTGCCTCACTGATGTCTGACTCTGGAGGCAGCTGATAACTGTCAGACTGGCCCCATCTCTGCCGCTGACGCAGACCCCTCGTCAGAGCCTTCCCCAGACTCCAAGGCTGGCCCATGTTCCTCCCCAACCTCCTCACTGTCTGAATCCGCTGCCAGCTCTGCTGGCGGCTCACAATAGGTAGCCTTCCACTGTTTTCACCCTCACCTTTTAGCAATAGACTTATAGATCGCTTCACAGTGCTCTACAGCCCTCTCTAAGCGGTTTGCAGAGTCAGCCTCTTGCTCCCAACAATCTGGCTCCTCATTTCACCATCCTTGGAAGGATGGTAGGCTGAGGCAACCTTGAGCCAGTCACAATCGTACTCCTGACAGTGAGCAGAGTTAGCCTGCAATTCCACTTCCTAGCCACTGTGCCACCATGGCTCTTTTTCATTGTGTGTACCAAAATGTTTTTAGAAATAATATCACACATCCAGGTCAGTTTGGAAAAAGTGATAGCTCAGGGATGTTCTCTATCAGGTCCCCAACCTGCGGGCCCTGGCCTATTCACAACCGGGCTGCCTGAGTGGCCGGCTGAAGCATTTCAGGGGCTCATTGTCCCACTCGCACGAGCGTCACAAGTGCTTGGGACTCCACTCACGTAGGCCTCACATGCATCTGCCCCTCCCACGAAACCAGTGGTGGGTTTCAAAAATTGTTCTAACCTACTCTGTGGGTGTGGCCTCCTTTGTGGGAGTGGCTTGCCGCCCCAT